CTTTTAAAAAAAACATTTAAGGAAATCATGCATAACTTGATTAATTACTCACGGCAATTAACCCTAAAGCATGATTAAATATTAACTAAGCATAATCTATATACTTAATTAGTTAACTAACATGATACTTGATTACCAAAATTATTCCGAACGTAAACGGGACGTCGAAAATAATTTCGGGTAATCTCGACTGAAAATAATTAATTCGAACTTTAATAATTTCGAATTCTTCACTTGGACGATTAATCCGAATATTGATATTTCGAATAATTCGTCAACTTAACTTATTAATTCCGAACTCATTAATTAATAAACGAACCGAAATTAAATCTGGAAATTTATTTGGTTACTAAAATAATTAAACCGAATAATTTATCGACTAATAGTCGAACATAGGATATGACTGAATGATCAATTTGAACTTGAACATGAACATGATTATTTATTAATAAAGGCTAGCTTAAAACTGAAAGCTATTATTTCCTTTATTAATAAAATACGGGGCGTTACATGTACTGCTATACTATGATGCCATTCGGATTAAAAAACGCCGGGGCTACTTATCAACGCCTCGTCAACAAAATGTTCGCTACGTTGATCGGTCATACTATGGAAGTTTATGTTGACGACATGCTCGTCAAGTCGGTGCACGCTTGTGATCATATAACGCATCTTCAAGACATGTTTGCCATCCTTCGATCTTATTCCATGGTCTTAAATCCTAAGAAGTGTACTTCCGGAGTTGAATCTGGAAAATTTTTGGGCTATATGGTCAGCCAGCGCGGAATTGAAGCCAATCCGGCCAAAATAAAGACCATTCAAGATTTAACTCCCCCGACCTCGGTTAAGGGTGTTCAGGCCCTAACTGGTCGACTTGCTGCGCTTAATCGGTTCATCTCCAAATCCACAGATCGTTGCAAACCTTTTTTCGAAGCAATCAAAAAAGGAAAACGTTTTGAATGGACCTAGGAATGCCAAAAAGCTCTCGTCAACATCAAGGAGACGCTAGCCTCTCCACCGACGTTACAAAAGCCGAAACCCGAGGAAATGCTGTTTCTCTACCTCGGAGTCAGTGATTCCGCCATTAGTGTTGTTTTGATACGTGAAGAGGGACTGTTACAATCGCCTATCTATTATGTCAGCAAAGCCTTGCATGATGCTGAGTTACGTTACCCTCCGATGGAAAAATTAACGTTTGCGCTTGTTGTTGCTGCTCGGAAATTGCGACCTTATTTTCAAGAACATTCCATAAATGTCTGCACTTCGTATCCACTTCGGCAAATCCTGCACCGACCTGATACCTCGGGATGCATGATCGAATGGGCTATTGAGCTCGAACAATTCGACATCCATTATCAACCGAGGACCGCGATCAAGGCTCAAGCCTTATCTGACTTCATCGTCGAATTCACTCCGACCATAACAGTTCATCATGATAATCAACCGTGGGTTCTCTATATCGATGGTTCCTCAACAGCCAACCGAGCAGGTGCAGGGATAGTCTTGGCTGACCCGGAAAACTGATTATTCTGTCACTCGGTGAAGTTTCTCTTCCCGGCAACCAACAATGAAGTTTCTCTCAAACCGGTAACATCACAAAAGCCACCGACTTGGATGGACCCTATCATCCACTACTTGGAAACTGGGGCCTTGCCCCCAGACCCAAAAGAAGCTCGTGCACTTCGGATTCGAGCAGCTCGGTACACACTGGATAATGGAACTTTATTCAAAAGAGGATACTCCGTCCCGCTTTTGAAATGCGTGAGTGAACCTGACTCACGATATATTCTATAACATCAAACACTTTTTCTCTTCGCCTTACCACCCGCAATCTAACGGCCAAGTCGAAGCTGTGAACAAGCTCATAAAAAACGGCCTCAAAGTCCGACTTGATGCTGCCAAAGGAGCTTGGCCGGAAGAACTACCACATGTCCTATGGGCCTACCGAACTACAACTCGAACTTCTACCGTCGAGACTCCGTTTTCCCTAACCTACAGCTCAGAAGCTGTGGTCCCAGTCGAGCTCGGAGAACCGACGTACCGAGTTCAACATTTCACCGAAGAGTCCAACTCGGAAAATCTAAAAGCTAATCTGGACCTGCTCGAGGAACATCGTACCCGGGACGAACTCAAGAATGCCGCTTACAAACAAAAAATCGAGAGATATATCAATTCTAAACTCAAACCTCGTTCATTCCGAGTTGGAGACTTAGTTCTCAAGTGCATAATGGGGCCTGAACCCGGACCACTCAAACCAAAGTGGGAGGGACCTTACCAAATCATTGAGGTTTTACCCCATGGAGCATATAGGATTGCTCATCCTGACGGGACACCTCATCAATATCCCTGGAATGCTGTCTTTTTAAAAATGTTCTACCAGTGAATGGTCCGAAGTCGGATAGCCGACCTTTCTTTTGCACGGACCTTCTTTTTTGCTTCGGTGGATGTACGAAGTAACTCTTTTGATGTACTGAAAAGCCTATCGGCTTTCGCTTTTGAAAATCCAAGCAGCAGCTCAATACCGATGTAAATATTTTAAAACTTGGTTCTATGAATATTTCGTACCGATGTAAGCATTGCGACACTCGGTCTGGCTGATACCCCATAATATATCCGAATACCACACATATTTCGGATGAGGGTGAAGCTCGTCACACGTCACTTCAACGAACATGATTTGGTGGGTCCCGAAAATTACCGAATATTTTTCCACCGCAAATTACATGACCAATCCCAATGTCATGCTGCCTTTTCTCTTCATTTTTTTCATTGAGCATTTATTTGTTTCACAACAGCTGTTGCTTGAGGTGTTTAAAACACTATATTATCATAAAAAGAATTTAGAATAATTACCAATCTTAAAATTAAAAAAAAAATTGGTGAGTAAGACTTAGGAAACACACTAGTCACCGGTAATTAGAAAACAACCATAAGATTTGTTTATGGTTATTAAAAACGATTTGTTTAGAAAACAAATTTTTTATATAACTTATAGTGTATAAAATTTATTTAAAAAAGAAACGTATATCAAAATGTGCACTAAATCACGTTTTACATTAATGTAATTAAGTTAATCACGTTTAAATATGTTGTACACCATATATGGTCTAGTGTGTAAATGTGCACTAAATCATATATTTTCTTAATTTCTTATTTCAAGCATTAA